AGCAGGAATATAAGCTTAAGGATTTGTTTTCTGTGCAATAAGTTTGTCCTAATCAAATGGTACTGTGCCTTGTAGAACTGGTCACTGGTTAAACTCTAGCATCATCCCTGAAACTGAAGTTGGCAGGGTTGCATATGCTGTAGATGCTTCATTCAACCCCCTGGAATAGTTCCAGTGAATTGCAACAGAACCAAGACCCTTGTGTGAAGGGAAAGAAATCCATCTTTCTCCTACTCCAAGAAAGGTCATTGCTAGGGACCCAAGAACACAGCAGATACATTAGTAAGGTTAACGTAATTTAGAATAAATAAAAAATTAAGCAGTACATGTTTGCTTTTCAATTTTTAAAGAAAATCAAATCACTGAACTGGTGGAAGTCACTACATAAGCAATAAGTAAGTCCATATTATACTATGCAATTCCTTTAAAAATGCACATAGCTTCCACCTGAGTAGCAAGCCAGAGGGCTCTAGTGTAAATGCAACATTTAGTTATCCAAAAATGTTAGCATAATCGCTAACCAACGAGAATCAAAGTTTTCAGGAAGTAACCAAAAAGTACGAATGGAAAACAAGATTAAAAATAGATTTTAAATTACTTTTTTCTTGCTTTTAGTACATTAATAAAAATATTGGATCAAATAAATCCATCTTGTGCTCCTGTGGGACAGAAGGTCTGTCTCTTGGTATTGACAGCAGTAGTAAAATTGGTTTAATGCTGACAACGTCTAAAACTAGAATATTGGTTTTAGAGAACGTCAGAAGTGACTATTCCTTGAATAGTATTGGTAATAGCTGAAATACCTAGAGCTCCTTTTAAGTGTGTTGTGGGGTGCCACACAATGTTAGCACTGTTTAGGTTTGCAAACATGATTCACAAGATAAACTCAGGGATTTCAAACAGAAACCCACAGTTGCGGTTTTTCTGAGCTCTTTGTAACAGAAAAAAATCTGCTCTATCATTTTTCTGAAGTAAAAAAAAAAAAAAAAGTAAAAACTAAGGCTGGCATTTTCTGAGGGGCGCCTCAAGTCTATCCAGGGGTGCCTTCAGTCTCAAGTTTGAGAACCACTGGTCTAATGCGACTCTCACATAGTTCTTGGTGGCTGAATGAATGGTTATGTTCTACAAAACGGAGAACCACAAACTAATCATTCAACTAGAGAAGTGAAAGGGCAGAAGCAAGTTTAACCATCTGAATCTTAAAGCCTATGACAAGATGAAGATTCTACCCCTCTCCCCATCCCCTTCAAGATAAATATGAAAAGCACCTCTCCCATACCCTTGCTGTACCTAGTCTGTAGCTCCTACATCAGACATTGAGGTTTCTAATCGAGTTTGTAAAGACTCTAGTGAGAAAAGAGTTCCTTCACAATGGAA